ACACATGTTCTTTATTGAATAATGAGTACAGCGCCTTCCTAATTATCTCAACACGTGCCTTCTAGCACTTTCTTTGTACAGTCCCATGCACGCAAGTGGACTATGGGATCTCACAAGGGAATTTTCCCTGGGAACATGGAATGTTTAACATTTTATTTTTAGGTCAACGCATAACATTGGCCCTTGAAGCAAGGGGGAGAGCGTAATGACCAACAACGACCGCTGCGTACCACAGGTACGGTCAACTAAGCTAACCTTTACGTTAACTACTCTATACTCTTTGTTTTTTTTCTACCTATGTGACTTTAACCGAAATAACCAAAGAGTATGGATTCCTGCAGTCACGAAAGCTTCAAATCAAGGTTAACTACTCTGTTAAGGGGGAACATTTCAAACACAATGCAATACACAACCAAAAGGGTACTCTCATATATCCTGCAATCCAGTGTGTGTGTGTGTGTGGTTGAATGACACGTGCGTCCCTGCGACCCTCCCTCGCGCTTTCTTGGATGGCTCCGTCGGCTTCCCCCATCCTGCTGATCTTCATTGGGCTCGTTCCTGAGAAGAGGGGAAGAGAGTGCGGGAGCAGTACTTTCCAGAAGAGGATGCTTTTGTCCCTGGCTTTCGTCACGACACCCCAGGACCCGGCCTTTCTGGACCTGAATGATCCCTTGTGTCGGTGGTTCCTTATTAAACGTCTCGGCTGGAACACCCATCGCCGGCGTCCCCTCTGGATGCGTATACTCTGCGGGCGGAGAACTTGGACAATCTCTACAGGACCCTGCAGGGACGGTGCAGCTTAGCTGACGTGCCCGCCCGGACCTAGGGACAGTGTAACCAGGCCCGATCCCCCTACTCGAAAGGTCACTGGGCGTTTGTATTTTTTTCCGCAAGCGTTCGTTCGCTGATTACGATCTGCCAGACTTAGCTATTGCTGCTTTGCGAGCTTCTCACAACATTTCTATTGGCAGACTGTGGGAGGCTGGCCACCGAACCGATTTAGGAGGGAGAACCACGAGCTGGTCTTCAATAGGCGGCTGCGGGTCCCTCTCGTACATCAAAAATAAGGGGGAGAACCCCGTCGATGTGTGTGGTGCCCTACGGTATGCCTCTATGACTCCTGAGGTGTGTAAGTTCCAGTCTGTCTGATCATCCGTGACAGCATTGCACAACATTGCTAAACTTTGTGCGGTTAAGCCTTTCCACCTGTCCGTCACACTGAGGGTGGTACGGCAAAGTTCGAATTTTCTTAGTGCCCATGATGTCACAGACATCACGCAACAGTTTAGCAAGAAAAATGTCGACCCTGGTCTGTGAGCAGTTTCTCAGGGTGTGCCTTTGTCCAATACATACCCGTGGAGAAAGGCCTCTGCTATAGTCGTAGCCATCTGATCTGATCGTGGCCATGTGACAGGACAATGAGTTCTAGATTTAAAGCTTTCGTGACTGCAAGGATCCATACTCTTTGGTTCTATTCGGTAAAGTCACGTAGGTAAAAAATAAAACAACAAAAATCACGATGTTTCGGCCACAACACAAGTGGCCTTCATCAGGTGAAGGGACCAGACTGTCTAGAGGACAGCGCTGGAGTGAGGAGAACGAGTGCAATACTCCGTCACAACAAGCAAATATTTATTTCCCCTTGATGTGTTTGGAAATGGACCCAGTATATCCAATACCACCAGCTCGTTCACCCATGATACTGCGATCGACTACAGGGGAGTCTGTATGGGTTGGGAAGGAGGGTTCCTTTTAGCACAATCTTGACAACGATTTACGCACTCTCGCACATCCTTTGACATCCCCAGCTAATAATATTGAGATAGTAGCATGAGCAATGTTTTATGGTGGCACAAGTGTGTAAGTTGTTCGGCGTGCACTTCAAATAACAACTGTTGTCATATGGGGCTCGGTACCACCAGGCAACGACGCTGCATCCTAGCGTCCCACTTCATCAAAAGCCCTCGCCATTTCACAAATGGTGCCCCTGCTTGTCCATTTAATCCACCTCGCCATCTGTCCCGAAGGTTGATCCATTTTTAACAATGATTGCAATGCCGCATGATCGGTCTGCATGGTAAACCAGCGACTGCATAGGCAGGGCCCAAACAACGTGACAAAATGTTTCCACTTCCAGGCGTTCCCTATGAGTCACACAGGAGCGTTGTTCTGCGGTGGAAAGCACGCGACTCCCGTACGGAATTACCACTTCCATGTTTCCTTGTATTTGTTACAAAAACAGCACCTATACCGACATCACTAGCATCAGTATCTAGGACGAAAAATCCGGTAGTGAAAAATCCAGATATGCTAGTTGGGGAGCATCAGCCAACCTCAAACGAAACGCTTGACATGCTGCTTCTTCTTCCTCCCACCCACCGGAATCGCACCCCTTTTGGTGTGAGGGCATGCAAGGTACAAATCTACGACAGTAGGAAACAAATCCTAGGAATCGCCACACTTCCCGTACCGAATTGGGTGTCAGACAATTCTGTACTGCAGGCGTTTCCTCAGGGGTTGTTGCTACCCGCTGACCACATGACTCACACCCTGTACCAAATAAAAATTTTATGGTTTAAGTTTTCAGTTTAGCGGCTCGCACCTTTAAGAAAACTTGTTGCAACCTCACCAGATGTTCCTCAAACGACCTACTAAATACAATGACGTCGTCTAAATAGATGAAACATCTCCTATTTTAGGCCCGACAGCAACTAGCTCCATAAGGCGTTGGAAGGTTGCCGGTGCAGTGAGCAATCCCATTGGGAGGCGATTAATGTGAAACAACCACTGCGAAATGCAGTCTTTAACTTTGATTCGTCATCCAGGGGGGCGCTGCCAAAATGCTGAAGACAGATCCAACGTAGTAAAATATTCAGCTCCCGCTAATGCGTCCAATGAGTCATCAATACGCGGCAGGGGACACGCGTCCGCTATCGTAACTTTATTTAGTCGCCGAGAATCAACGTAAAACCTCATGGAGCCATCGGGCTTTTTAACCAGCACTACTGGTGCTCCCCAGTGGCTAGTCAATGGATACATTATCTCTGCTCTTAACATCTCGTCTGTAGTTCGACGGATCTGCTCCTTTTCTGCTGGTCCAACTCTTTATGAGTTTTGTCTCAAGGGTTGAGCACTCCCCGTTTCAATGTGGTGCTGCATCAAGTCAGTGCACCCTGGATCATGCGAGGTCCTTACTGAAAATAGTGTCAAATTCGTGGAGACTTTTAAGTTGGTCTCTTAGACCTTGGGTCAACTCAGGGTTCCGCTGAAAGATTTCCTCCACCCAGGTGTGACCCTACCCTATCCTTCACTTCCTCTCTCCCCACCAATACTTCATCTTCTTGAATTTCACCTGCTGGGGAAATCTGGGCTATGACCGTACCCTCCTCGCAGTGCAATTGCCCGCTCTGATGTGTTCAAAACTTGCATTCACAACCATTCGTTCCACCTTAAAACGGTGTACAACGACCGCTAACGAATGCCCATTGATCGTTGGCCCCAGTGGTGGCACTACAATTGGCGCATACACTTGTCAGGTCATTAATGTTTGGCGATATCGCAAAGGGACCAACACCAGTGCTAGTGGTGGAAGCGTCATCGATTTTGCCACAAGTGCGTGGACTCTGGCAGCCTTCCCTGTTTCCGTGCCAGGCCAAAAAAATAAATACATCCGTCTCCCCGACAGTGTCTCTATACAGCCCTGGTCCATTCGCATTTTAATGGGTAGCCGACTTAAATAATCGGTTCCCAATAAGCATGGTACTGCCAGGGATGAATAGACTATTAGACTAAAACCGGGCCCGATATACACATTTCTTGATTTAAAGCTTTCGTGACTGCAGGGATTAATATTCTTGGTTCTTTTGTAAATTCACGTAGAAGGGGAAACAATAAAATAATAAAAATATAAAACAAAATTATCACGCCGTTTCGACTGCAACACAAGCAATCATCATCAGGTGTGATGATGATTGCTTGTGTTGCAGTCGAAACCTCGTGAGAATTTTATTGCTTTATATTTTTATTATTTTATTGTTTCCCTTCTACGTGACTTTACCGAAAGAACCAAGAATATACACATTTCTCTTAAGCAGATTTACGTCTTTACTTTACTGACAATTCCAAAGCTATTGTCGTTTTCCGCGACAAACTTATTACAAACTGGTTCTAGGTGGCGTTTACCTGTAGGTAACATATCAAACACGAGCACAGAATTGATGGTGACTGATGCTCCCGTGTCAAATCAACACCCTAATGGAATATCCCCCGAATCACTCCTGCTAGAACTGATGTCCCCGTGGCTGCTGCTACAGCTTGTCTCACAAGTTTGTTTCCATTTTGATTTATATTTTGGCCAAATTTTCCCTGCCATGTCACCCTGGGTCACCGCGATCGAGTGGTGTGCCAGTGATAATGGTGATGAGGGGTTTGATGATGAGGTATGTGTATGTATTCTTTGGTTCCTTCAGTACAGTCACGTAGATAGAAATTTAAAAAATAAAATGAATAAAAATAAAATTACATTAAAAATTAAGATATCAAAACCAAAAACTTTTCGATCGCAACACAAGCGGTCGTCATCAGGCGGAGATGACGACCGCTTGTGTTGACGCCTGATGACGACCACTTGTGTTGCGATCAAAGCGTCGTGAGTTTTTGTTTTTTTATTTTATTTTCTATCTACGTGACTTTACCCGAAAGAACCAAAGAACATGAATTCTTGCAGTCACGAAAGTTTTAAGTCAAAAGTATGTGTATCGTCTGGCCTGTTGTCCAGGGTGTTGCTTGGAGATGACTTGGTTGTCTCGTGCCGACTACACCCCAGCATCCTCTTGCCATGTGGCCCGGCCTCCTGCAGTGGTAGCAGTTGGTCTTCGCACGATTCTGGGTACCTCTGTGGGTCTGCCACGGCTGTTGCTGTCGATTTCGCCTTGGGCTGTTGAATTCCCGGATGGCAGCTGCCATCTCCTCCAAGGTCGCGTGAAGATCATTACCCACCACTAGACCTGGTGGGGGCCGCTGTTGTCGCTGCTCCTGTCGGTTCCGTTGGTCCTCTGGCTCCTCCGCTCTCCGTCGTTTCTGTCACCTGTGTCGCCACCTGAAATAGCGCTCTTGCTTCTTCGTGTTCTCGGAAGGCGCTTCGCGAACCACATCGAAATGTGGTCGCTCTCTGGCACAATCGTTAGCACAATGCCACTACCTTGGATGAGGCCTTGCATCCGCTCCGCCACCAACGCATGCCGGGCTGCCTTGTTCATCCACTGGAACACCACATTTGCGAGCGCCAACAAGGCACTACAGGATGTCATCGGCAGCTCGTTATCTTCCTGTCGTCGGGATGAATAACGCTGCCTGGCGCTAAACGGAGGGCAGAACATCTCTGCCATCTCTTCGTAGGCCTGTCATAGCATGGCACGCTGCCTCTCTGAAATCGTGTAGAAGGCGAATAGCACGCCGTTGTCGAGCACTGTGGACAGCGCTCGAAGGGCCTCCTCCTCGCTCCATCTTCTGTCTTTGACGGTGGTCTTAAATCTTTTAACAAACACTGCCCAGTCACCTCCGGTAGCCGTGAATTATTTAAAGGGTCCCATCCTTGGTAGGCGCTCCACCGGACCTAAGGGTTGTTTCAGTGGAGGTCCATGGTGGTAGCTCTCGCGACTCATCTTCGGTTGGGATCACCGCTAGACATAGCTCCTGCGTGGGCGAGGTGGTTGAGGTCCACGATGCAACTCGTGACAGCAGCCAGACAGGTTGATCGGCTCCCACCTGCTGCGCTGCGAGGGGGGGCGGCTGCTCCAGGTCTGTTGTCTCAGTCCGCTGGAGGCGGTGGCTGAAATCCCCGGATCTTTAACTCGCCACGTGGCAGGTGGAGATGGCCACTTCCTCTCTGGAATCCCAGCTCGTTGCGTGGCAAGGGGAAGCGGCGGCGCCGTCTCCAGGCCGACAATGTTGACTCGGCGCTCTGCGGGAATTATCTGCTGCTCAGATTTGTCAGCATCGGCTCCTCGGACTGCGGGGACTGGCGGCTGTTCAGGCTGTGCAGCATCGGCTCTTTCCCCATCTCTTTCCTCGAAGATCGCCGTCAGCAACCGATCAATTGCAGAGGTAAGGCGGTCCAGTCTCTCAGCTCTCTTTTTGCAGCTCTCCTGTCTCGGCGATTCTGATTCCCTGGTCCGTGGTGGGGCCTCCACCTCCTACGGGAACGTAGCTGCCAGTGGGGTTTCCAGGTCTCGGGGACCCAGGGTACTTTGGGACATCGCCTCTTCCTCCAATAGAGCTTCTCTCTGGGTCTTCTTACAGGATACCGTAGACTGAATCACACCGCTGCCACCAGTGTAAAGAAGCTCCTTGGAGACGTCCATTTTGTAGAAGTAGAAACTTGATTGATATCATAACGTATTTACAGTTCCAAGCGTAACAACCGCCACACCTGTAATTCCTACGGCTATCTTCAGCCCCGATGGTTTCCACCAAGTTCGTTTCATTAACAGTCAGTCCCGTTTGTTTCCACCAACATTGTTCACGACCAGTCAGGCCCGATGTCGTCCACCTTGGTCATCGATTAGTCCCTGAGGAAGAGCTCCGACCACGAGCCTCGCTCCCCCTTATATATTCGCTCGGCCCCGCCCCTTTCGGAGAGTGGCCCCCTACTATACTATAACACGTGTGTTATTTATTGAATTATGAGTACAGTGCCTTCTGGCCACCTGTTCCTAATGATCTCAATGCGTGCCTTCTAGCACTTTATCTGTAGAGTCCCCTACAATAGGATTTTTATTATATTTATTTTGGACTAAAATTGTATCTCACTAAGTCGAATGCATTCGCCATCGATTTCCTTCACGTAGAATACCCGAGAAGAACTTTTGCAGCCTCCAGTAAACTTTCACTAAGTCACTACATAACATTTTTGGGTCAAGCGAGCCAGACTGCTGATGAGACACCGACATTTTAAACCGGTTCAAAATGATTGCTTGTGTTGCATCAGTGGTCTAGGCAAGACTGAGTGACAATGATGATCTCTGTTTTTTAAACTACTTTCAGAGGTTTGTGGGAAAGTGATGTTCTCTACGGGGTGATTTCGGAGGTCGCTCTGTGATATACACTTCCACGGGCCATTCCCTAAACTCATCCCCCCTCTTCCCTCCTCCTCCCCCCTCCCCCTTTCTTTCCCTTCCCCCTACCCCTCACATATTCCCATCCCTGAAATTAAACAGGTCGATTCCTCTGCACCTGGACTTTAAGACCCCGCCCTTCAGCACCAACCTGAAGGCTCCATTGAACGAGCGGTTGAAGACCATCAGCAGGACCGGGTTGACGGCCGAGTTGAGGTAAGGAAGCCAGCACACCACCTCCCAGGCAGCTCGGCTCGTCCCGTAGCCCAGCAGTGGCTCGCTCGCCACCAAGATGAAGTAGGGCATCCAGAGCAGAATGAACGTACCCGTGATGATGCCGAGTGTCTGGGTCGCATTGTGTTCCCGCTTCGTCGAGGCACGGTCGTCCCGCCCCGAGACCATCGCCGAACCCTCGATCCTTCTCACCTGGGCCCGGGCGAGCCGGTGAATCTTCGCGTTCGCCATGATCATCAGCAGCATCGGCGTCACGTAGGCCACCAGGACGTTTGTGGCGGTCGACGCCGGGTTCATGTAGACGCGACAGTCGTGCCGGCAGCTCGACTCGGCCACCTGGCGCTTGATGCCCACGAGGTTCCAGCCCAGCATGAAGGTGGCGCCGTACAGGGGGAGGCCGGACCATGAGAGGAGCAGCATGGCGGCCAGGACACGTGGCGTCACCATCTGACGGTAGCGGAGGGGCTCGGCGATGGACGCGTACCTTTCGAGGGAGATGCACGCTAGGTTGGCGATGGAGGAGGTGCAGGTGGAGAAGTCGAGCCACGTGTGAAGGTGGCAGAAGAGGTCGCCGTAGAACCAGCAGTTGTAGGCGGTGCGTGCGGCGCTGAAGGGCATGATCAGCAGGCCGACCAGGAGGTCGGCGACTGCTAGGGACGCCACCAGGACATTGGAGCGAGATTGGAGCTGCCTAGACTCGCACAGAGACCGATAAACTCACACAATAACAACAACAACTTTTGATTTAAAGTTTTCGTGACTGCAGTGATTCATATTCTTGGTTCTTTCGGTAAAGTCACGTTGAAGGGAAACAATAAAATAATAAAATATATATAAAACAATACATTCTCAAGGTGACTTTACCGAAAGAACCAAGAATATATATAACAACAACAACAACTGCCAATTGCCACTCAGTGGTGGTGACATCACCATGACACTTGTGCCAGGCTATGTGCACTTTGAGGCTATGTGCAATATCGAACACCAGCTGGCAGGAGGTTAAGGTACAGTCCCAGGTGCGATGGGTTGACTGACTAAGATAACTTGCCAATGCTAAACCTTTGCCACCTATTGTTCCAATTTGCTGTGTTTTAGCCGCCCAGCGCTCTGCTCGTTGTTGTCAGTGTAGCTCCTCTGTCCTTAATTGTTTTTGAGGGCGACTTCCTCCAACTGCCCAGTAGCCTCCTCCACAGTGGGTGATCTTGACACTGCTGGTATCAATCATTGGCAAGTCCACTCAGCTCCACATTCTCTCGTGCCATATACTTCCATCTCTTCACTGTCCCTTGCCACGTCCGTTTAGCCCACTCTGTCCAGCTGAAGAGAATCTGTTTGGGTATTATATTTCTAATGTATAAAGCACCCTTTCCAGGGCGCTTTAAAATACAAGTCGACAGCATTCAGTGAGGGAAGTGACAGAATGGTTGGAGGGACAGGGGGCTGGGAATGGAGCTGATGTTGCTGGGGTAGGTAAGGCAGAATAAGGTGGAACGTGATGGTGAGTGAGGGTGTCTGATAAGTTCAGCGTGGATGAGAGGCAGTGGGGTATGGGGCACATGCATGAAGTGGTGAAATTGGCATTGGTGAGGGTAGGTGAAGGGTGGTAGCGGCAGAGGTCTGGTGGCCGGATAGTTGAGCCGATGGAGGAGCACAGTGTAGGGCTGGCGGAGAGATGTGTTTAGGTACACACAGAAAGCGAGACGTCGGATCCCAGTCAGGAATCAAGGTCGCCGGAAGGAAGATGACTGGGGGCTGTGAGGCGGGTGAAGCAACCGGTCGGAGTGGACGCAGCGGAAGAGAAAAATAAATTGAGAAGAGAAAGGACCTGAGGGCTGAGCGACAGGTGGAAAGTGAGGGTGAGACTGATGTGGGGTGGGGGTTTGTTCCAGCGCAACGGGGCGAGAAGAGAGAAATAACGAAAGCGAGACTGGGCACGAGGAGGTGGTGGAACAGTGAGAAAACGTGAATATTGAGATCTAAGAGAACGTGAAGGGACATATAAAGAGATGAGAGAAGAGAGTTATGGCGGGGCAAGACTGTGCAAAGCTTTGAATACGAGGGTGAGGAATTTTAAAAGATGGTAGTGATAGATAGAAAGCCAGAGAAGTTGTTGAAGGAGAGGAGAGCAGTGAGATGTGTATGTAAGGTTTGAGTCCAGTCTGTGCAGCTGCGCTTTGGATGCGTCGGAGAGGGATAAAGGCGTAAGCAAAGAGACCGACCATTGAGTGAGTTGCAGTAATCCAGACGAATGAAGACAAGGGAGCGTACGAGGAGTTTGGCAGCAGTGGTAGTGACGAGTGGACAGATTTTCATGATGTTGTACAAATGGTAACGACATGCACGAGTCGTGTTGGCAATGTTGGAAGTGAAAGAGAGAGTGGAATCGAAGGTAATACTGAGAGTTAGGGTGGTAGAGTTTTGGAAGAGGCTAAGGGTGGGGGGGGGGGGGGCGGGGGGGGGAAGAAGTTATGAAGAGTGCAGGGCGAGGTGAGTGAGAGGATGGAAAGAAAAGCACCGAGGTTTTTGGATGGATTTAGGGCAAAGGAAGTTTTTAGTCATCCAGGCTTGTGTGGCTCTCAGGCTGGATGAGACGCGGAGGGAAAGATCGGGGGTGAATGTGTCAAAGGAGAAGAAAATGTGAGGGTCAAAGGCAAAAATAGGTGATGGGAGATATCGAAGGAAGAAAGAAGAGACTCCAGGGGAGATGTGTGTACGGAGAACAGAAGGGGACCAAGTACTGAGCCTTGGGGAACACCGACCGTGAGGGGGGTGGTGGAGGAAGAGAGTCGATGGTTGAAAGAGACAGTCGATGAACGGGAAGTTAGGTAGGAACGGATCCAAGAAAGCGGGGCATCAGAGATGCCGAGTTTGGAGGGAGTGGGTCGGAGGATGGAGTGGTCGAGGGTATTGTAGGCAGAAGCCGGACCGAGAGAGATGAGGACGAAGGATAGACCGGAGTGACGCGAATTGGCCAGGTGGTTGTGGATGTTGCAGGAGGGCGGTTTCAGTGGGATGGAGAAGGCGGAACCCAGACTTGTGTAGGGGATAGATCGATTGGGAAGAGATGTAGGATGAGAGGCGGGAGTGGACTAAGCGTTCAAGGAGTTTGGAGAAATAAGAAAGCAAGGAAATAGGGCAAAAGTGTGCATGGAGAGAATGATCAAATAGACGTTTTTTTGATCGCGCTTTTACAAGAGTTGGGAAAGATGCCAGAGGAGAGGGAAGAGTTAAAGAGAGTCACGAGAAATGGAATAATCTTGGGGAGAATGGACGGAAGAAGGGAAGGAGGAAGGGGATCGAGGAAGGAAAAGATGGGGCGGGTTTCGGAGACGATGGTAGACAGCTCCAGAACGGAAACGGTGGAGAAAGCATTTAAGGAATAAATAGTACGGTGGAGGGGTCATTAGGTGCAGGGATATTAGAAGGTTTCGCATTGATCATGGAGGAGCGGATGTGGGCGATCTTGGTCATGAAGTAGTCTGAGAGGACCACAGGAGTGGGGACAGAAGCTGCAGGTGCAGTAGAAGATGGATGGAGCAAAGAGATTAGGGGAATTGAAGAGTAGAGCAGGGTGTGAAGATAAGGAGGAAATGAGGGAAGGAAGATGTGATTGTCGAGAAGCCTCCAGGGCTGAAGTGTTATTTGAATGGAAGGAATTATATGAGGAACGTGAGTCATGGGTTGGGTGAAGTTCTCCAGATGTGCTCTGCTTTGTGCACGAGCCGGCGCTGTGACTTGAGCGTTGATGATAACCAAGGACATGGCGGGGGGGGGGCGTTGCCGAGGGTGTAAGGGGAGCAGAGGTACGTACAAGAGCGCCCAAAAAAGGACGATAGTACTGCATTTAGGACAGATGAAGCGGTGTCGGGGTGCATGGAGGATAAATCAGAGATTGGTGGAAGCGATGAGGAAACCAAGGAAAGAAATGCGCAGTGGTCAAGGTAGCGTAAGTTGCGGCGGAGGTGTGGGGGTGCGGGGGAAGGCGAGGGATGGTGGAGGGGACAGAACGAGGAGTGTCACGATCGAATGGAGGGCGAGGGTCAACTAAAGGATTGGAGGCTGAACAACCGGAAATGAAGATTAAATCTAGTGTGCTACCCGAGAAATGAGTAGGGGGAGAGGGGATCAGCTGCAGGTGGAAGGAGCCAGTAAGAGACAGCACAGCAGTAGAGGTGGATAGGGATGTTAGATGCAGGTTAAAGTCACTCAGTCGGATAAATGGAGAGGAGGTTGTAAAGAGAGTTTATAGGAGACAGCCTGAGATCAGTGAAGAAAGAGGAGCAGGGACCAGGAGGATCGTAAATGATGAGGGTGGAAATTGAGTGGGGTAAAGGGAAAGAGGAACAGTGAAATTCTAAAGAGGAAAAGGTGGGGAGGGATTCAGATAGGATCGAGAAGATGAGCAGCCTAACGCCCCCAGCAGAGTTGCCAGAGGGATGTGGTAAATGGAGCAATTGGATCACGGGGGTGGATAACGCGGCGGGGTAGGGGTGTTCAGTGGAGAGATCCAGGTTTCCGTTAATGCTAGGGCGTCGAGGTTTTTTCAAAGGAAATAATCGAGGGTGGATGCAGGCGTATTGCAAACGGAGCGTGAGTTCCATAGGCCAAGGTGCATGGGGGTGATTTGTGGAGGTATGTGATAGCTGGGCATGTAGGCCACATAACCCAGCCAACGCAGCCTTGACTGTCAGAGGAACTCACCGATTGGACTGTCTCCAGATATTCAAGGATGTGTGAGCTCCTCACACAATTCAGGATGGATCGTGGGCACACCAGCCTAAATGTTTCTAACCGGCAACAATGTTCTATTAGGGGGCTCCACGTTTCGCAAACATAGAGAAGTGAGGGCATGACCATGGTCTAAGAGACCTGAAGCTTCTTGTGGAGCGACAGACCAGGTAGCATCCATACATCATTACAGAGAAGATGAAAAGATGATGCCGCTCGACTGATTCGGAATGAGACTTTTGCTGTCAAACTGGAGCTGGTCATGAGCACACTGCCCATGTATGGAAACTTCTGTGTTCTCTACAGAACTACCCCATCAATAGGGAGTTGAGGGGGTGGAGTGTTTGATGATACAAAACACCCTGGCAGCTGCTTGGTTTTGCAGGGGCTGATGGTACGGTACCACCTCTTAGTAGCATGCTCCAGGTCAAGCAGAAATGCCTCCAACTCTTTCTCTGAGTGAGCAGTAATCACCAGATTATCCGCATACGTAACATAATTGACCAATAGGGAACCATCTCTAAAACCACACGCGGTTATTGATCAGCCTCCCATTGCATCTGTACCACATGGAGATTCTGCCGGTGCAGCCATGGAAAGCTTCTCGAACTACGTGGTTGAAAGAAAAAGGTTCAATAATGTGGGGAGCCAGAGAACATCCCCGTCACACGCCAAAGTGAACAGAGAACAGCTCTGAATCCCGGCCTTCCCACCATCATGAAGGTCCTTAATTATTGTGAGTGGAGAGTCAGGGACTCCAAAAGCACGACGAAAACCCAGAGCCCAGGCCTTTTGATCGTATCATAGGCCTTGACCAGGTCAATAAAGCAGAGATGTAGGTCTGCTATAGCAGACAAACAGAAAAATATAGCATCTGTGCAGGATTG